TCTCTCTCTCTCTCTCTCTCTCTCTCCCCAACGGGCAGCAGCGGCGGGCGCCACGTCGAAACGGCCGCTTTGAAATTGCTCGGGCCTGTGCGAAAACCGGCACCTCAAAAACCTGCAGTGTCTTGTGTCTGGACCTCTAGGCCAATCCGGTTGGGTGAAAGGACACTTAAAAATCACCCCGTTCTTTTTTCGAGGGGCCGCTAGGACCCGACAAACATCCTGGGCCGCCCCTTTTTTTTTTTGATTTTTGCCCCAGGGGCCTCCATCCAGACATGGGCACCGGACACCAGACACCAGACACCAGACACCCGACACCGGACTGTCTGGAACCCGGTCTGGACGTGTGGGCGGTTACCATGGAAAACACTCCGAAGGAAATTCCTTGGGCTCCGAGGATTGCCCAGCCATTCCTTCCTTTTGCCCAAGGGACCTCGTGAGGTCCCTTGGGCAAAAGGAATCCGCATTTCACGGAGAGGAGCGGGCACATGGGTAGAGAGACGTTACAACCGAGAATCTGGATCGTGGCAGCACCCTATTGGCTGAAGGCCTCAAACACAGTTGATTTTTTTTTTCTTTTCTTTTTTCTTGTCTGACATCGTTCGAAGGAAATGTCCTCGGGCGACGTCCCCGAGGACAGGTGGAACGATGGCGGGAATTTCCTTGAAAACCCCCATCGGCCCCGAGGACACCCCAAGGAGTGTCGAACGAGCCCCACAGGAAAAAAAAAAAAAAAAAAAAAGAGACGGACAGAGAAAAAAAAGCAAACAAAACAGAGAAGGACGGAAGGAAATTACACACACATGCACCCTCACAAAAAGAAAAGCTTCCATAATCTGAACTCCATCCATGCACACTTCCCTCCCCCCCCCACAAAAAAAAAAATAAAAAAATTAAAAGACACTTCCCCCCCCCCTCCCCCCCCCGCGCACAACCCAAACACTGGCAGATGTACGTCTCATCATGCTGTGGAAAACAAAAATTGCACTTCTACGATTTATGAACTTCGGTCCGCTTTCATTTTTGTAACCGTCCAGTTGTCAAACCACCAGTACATTTCCCAAACATTTTGTTTTGTGAGAATGCAGGCGTGCGCCGTGCAGGAGTCGTGTCTGGTGGGATGTTAAGGGCCTGGCACCAGGCCAAAAAAAATCAGTACGCCCCATGTCTTGTGGGATGTAAGGGCCTGACGACAGGCCAAAAAAAATCAGTGAGGCAAAACGAACGGATCGTGCAAGTGGGAATATTTTCCTGGATGTACCTTTTTGAGAAGGTGGAGGGAGGTACATCCCACCGGACGCGCCGTGTGCACGGCCACATCCTCGCAAAATGGCTGGGAAACATACTAGCGGTTTTAAACCACCAGTACACACCTCACATCGGCTGCGGGGCTGTGCCAGAGGCTGAAAAGTGCCGCCGGACGCCGATTTCTTTTATCGCCGGCGCGCCGGCGCAGACTTTTTCCAAATAGGCGACCTGAGTTCCTTTTCAGCAAGGCTGGGGCCATGTACTGGCGGTGTAAGGCATGATCACACCAATGGGCATAATAGCTCAATTGCTAAACTCATGAACATTTGAAATACAGACCTGAGTTCGAATCCAGGTGAAACTAGAAGGATGATATAACATAGCTCTGAAAAAAAAAAAAAGAAAAAAAAAAAAAGGCATGATCATGACCACCCATCCTCCTCCTCCCATCATCAAATGGCATCTTCTTTTCTCCAGAACACCAATGTAGGTAATGACTCACTCCCCCCCCATATATGTGCATCTTATGAGAGGTTATG